TTGGTTAGCCCGAAAGGCATGACCAGGAACTCATAGTGTCCGTACCTGGTTCGGAAGGTCGTCTTAGGGATGTCTTCTGTTCTTATCTTCACATGATGGTAATCTGATCGTAGATCTATTTTAGAGAAGACCTGTGCACCCTGCAGCTGATCAAAGAGGTCATCAATCCGGGGAAGGGGATACTTATTTTTTATCATGACCTTGTTCAATCCTCTGTAATCAATGCACAGTCTCAACGTTCTATCTCCCTTCCTTGCAAAAGTGACTCCAGTACCTCAAGGGGACACACTGTGTCTAATAAAACCACTGTCTTGTAATTCAGTGATCTATTTCCTCAGCTCTTCCATCTCAATGCGGCTCATACGGTAAAGAGCAACCGAAATGGGCTGGGTACCTAGCTGTAGGTCTATAGTGAACTCGACTTCTCTGTCCACTGGCAGACCGGGCAGTTTGTCCGGAAACACATCTGGGAAGTCTTGGACTACCGGAATCTCTTGAACACAAATTTCTTTTTTGGACTTGCCTAGTCAGAGAAAACAACAAGATTAAGGTACTAGAAGTTAAGAAAACTTGTCATCAAGGAATACGTACTGAATACTTTTATTAATTTGTAAATGGCTCCTCGTTAGGAGGATTAAATACAACTTTCTTGTTAAAGCAATCTATGGTGGCGTGATGCGCCGCTAATCAATCCATTCCTAAGATTACATCAAAATCCCCCGTGTCTAACCCTATCAGGTCTACCCTCAGTTTTATATTTGCTATCTCCACGACACAAGCCCTATAAATAGCTTCCCCTAGTAGTGTTTCACCCCCCGGCAGTAAACACAAACAACAATGATTCAAGTTTATCATGTGATACATTAATTTTGGAAGTAAAAGCATGTGAAACAAAAGAGTGCGATGCACCAGTGTCAAATAAAACATGAGCAATATGGTCACAGATAGTATACATACCCTGTACCACATCCGGATCGGTGTCGGCATCCTGCTGGGTAAGGTTGTAAGCTCTACCCTGGATAGGAGGCCTCCCTTGATTTTGGTTCCTCGGGCATTCTCTGGCATAATGCTGGGCACTGCCACAAATGCGACAAGTGTTGTTGAGGCGGTAGCAGGGTCGGTCCCTGTGATCTCTGCCGCAGTGTTGACAGATTTTCCCACGTGCTGCCCCTGGAGCCTGAGGAGGGGCCTGGATGGCTGGTCTGGGCCTCTTATTTAGTTGGGCAGGCGCAATAGGTGCTGGCCTGCAGAACGGAGCTGAGGGTCGTGAACTCCCTCGTGGCTGAGGACGGGTGATGAAGCTTCTTTCTACGATCTGTGCCTTTGCTAGGACTGCTGAATATGTCTTGAGCTCCAGTACTACCAGGTGTTGCCTGATCTCTGGGCGGAGACCCGACTGGAATCTCCTAGCCTTTCAGCCCTCATCCATCAATGTCTCCAGGGAGTATCGGCCCAGCTCTAGGAACTTACGAGCATACTCTAATACTGTCATGTTTCTCTAAACCAGTTGAACAAACTCCGTTTCCTTTAGGTGTCGGATGTGCTCAGGGAGATACTCCGCATGGAAGGCCCCTAGGAACTGCTCCCAAGTGACTGGTGTAGGTAGGGTGGTCTGCTTGAGCTCCCACCAACGTCCTGCTTCCCCTACCAGCATGAAAGAAGCAAGGGCAGCTCTCTGCTCAGGAACTACTCCCAAGATCCTGAAAGCTCTCTCAGTCTCCGCCAGCCAGTACTGGGCCTCTTTAAAAGAGGATCTCCCTACAAAGGTGGAAGGGTTCAGTCTCCTATACCTCTCTATGTAGCCTGGGTCGATCAAGGAAAGAGCAGGGTCCCGTGGAGGAGGGGCTGGACCCGGCTGGGGATAGACTGGGGGGCCCTGTGGTGGCACCTGCTGAAA